GGCCCTTATATATCAGACTGACCTCTGTATGCAGCTGTTATTAGCTGTGCCAGCCTATGTAGCTGTTATTGGGGGAGGAGGGGGGTCAGGCTGTAAGACTTCTATAACCAGGTAAATATAAGCATTCAAATTCTTGTAGTCCTGTGCATTGGACTGTCCAGATTTGAGAAGGACGTTTTGCACCTTAACTTGTCAGCAGTTGTAGAACCGTTCACAAATATGTCTACTGCCACTAGAGGCTTTCTGTTATCTAAAGTATCAAGCAATAAATAGTCCTGGGTCCAGCATCTTAAAGCTATTCTCAACCAACATTTTTCATTACAGCATTGTTTGTTAAGTTAATACTTATCTGATACAAGGGTAAATCAAATAATCAAGCAAGTATTGAGGAGGCTTTGGCTAGTAAAGGCCCTACCAGGCAGGTTTTTTTTATTTCTTCTTACTCATTTTACAGTGAAATAAATATCCTGGCAGTATGTCTCAGACTGGACAGTGTCAAGTTCTAGATATCACCATGTGCTCTGCAGTACACAGAAGCTTGGGTGTGTGAATTATAAGACTTAAGAAAGTGGTTTCTTTTTTAAAACTACTTAATCTGAAAAACAAGTGATTAACTAACCAGTCATGCAAGATGCTATTTCTGGTGAAGAGACTCAAGTACTTTAATAGTGAGTCATATGTTTGATGAAGTTTAAATCATATCATTTTGGGAGAAGGGTAGTATTGTTTTATTAAGAATTACACAGCTAATAAATATAACTGGAAGAGATCATGTACACTACACCCATGAGAATCTAAATAACCCTAAGAAAAAGTCCTATAGGATCATGGGCCAATTTCCTATAGAATCCTGTCTGTCTTTGACATTTGTAGGTGATGACAGTTATTATCACATACAGACACCTCAGTCCACTGACACAGGCTAGAGTTGTCTAACCTGGCTGAAAGGAATGTAGTATGCCATACTGAATTAGCCAGTTAACATAATTATATAGCTGAGATTATTTTCCACACTCAATCAAAATACCATATACCTCATGGAAAATGTCCATCTTGAAAACCTCAAAGTGGACATTCTCCATGTGATGATAGCAGTATTTAAGTGTGAAGGCCTAAGTGACTGTATGGCACGGATTGTTCATTAATAGGTATAAATAGCAGTATAACTTGGGCCAGTATTATAAGGCTCATTCCCAATGAAACTGTTGTTCCACATAGATCGATCCAGCTCTGCGGGGCGGGACTCTCGCTGAATGCAATCAGATAAACAGATTAACACACCTCCTCGTTTTCAACATATTCATATAATCACTACTCAATGCCAGGAGAAAGAATGTTCATCTGATTACATTCAGCAAGAAACCCCATGGACTTGGATCAATGTACATAGAACGATTATTTCATTGGGAATGGGCCCATTTATGTAAGCACAGCACCATGGATATCAGCAGTAGTGATATGTGTACAGTAAGGGTGCACTCAGAACAACTTGATCCCCTGACCAACAGATCTGCGGATCAAATATGGATGACCCACTTGAAAGCATGCATCATAATCCTCCAATAGACACTGAATAGATTCCCTGTGGGTATTAGGCAGTAAGCTTTTAAGTTGGCAAACCATATTTGATCTGAGGATCTGGTAGTCTGTGGATCAACTTTGGTTGTGAATGTGGCCCAACAGTGTGGCTGGAGTATTATAGCATTCAGAACAATGGTGCAGTTGTCAGAAGGCACACTAGAGTGATGTCCAGGCCTTAGAGATGCACTGGACTGGAGAGATGAGCCTGAGCAAATAGAAAGAAGTGAAAATGGTTATTGATGTTGTGGTTTTGTGGTGGAGAATTTTTTTTTTTTTTTTTTTTTTTTTTTTTGAGAATGGGTTTTTGATCATTGTAGAAATGAGAAAGCATCAGGTTGAAGAGATGGCAAGATGTATGGGAGTTTTCCATGTCTGTAGTCCTTCTTACAAATATTCAGGACTGTCTGCAGAGTGCAATTAAAGAAAACGCAGAAAGAAAACACTATTCAGTTCATAAAAAAAAACAAAAACAAACTAAAATAAACAGATTAGATCTCTAGTAGCCAGTTGAATAAAAATACAACATTTTCATGTGCTGCGATATAATTTCAAGTATCCCCTTTTTGTAGTCCAAATCTGTTGCATGTCGGTGGTGAAGACATGAAGTTCATGTTCACAGTTTTTGACATTTTAAAATAATTTTTACAAGGGCAAAGTGGTAAAGATTGAGCCTTTATATGTTATTATGATATATTTAGATTTTCCTGTGCAATGGCCATAAGTATAAGGTATATATATATATAGTGCCATTGTCCTTTGTTTCAACTTACCACAGTGTTTTATTTCATAATCTGGTCAGAGTCAGATGTTTATCTGGTGAGGGTTTTACTTCTCTTATATTATATGCACATATATTTGTCTGTGCACAGTGTCTGCAGTGCAGGATTAACTGTTTAAAGTGTGAGGAAAATCATCAGTTATTTGATGCAGGTAGATGGAGAGTGATAAAGGTTTGAAATATTTTAATATTTCATGAGGATACAGGAGCCACGGGTATAGTGTTGGTTCCAGTTGGGTGATACAAGTAGCCAGTCACTTTAGAGCTTGACATCGCTTTGTGAATTGAAGGAAAAATTACTCTGTTGTTAACAAAAGATTGAGGCTCTAAGGACCTTTCATAAAAAATTCCTCTTGTTGACTTAATGCAGGTGATACTTAGTAGGTATTCAACAGCTGGCTTGAAGATGTGAAGCAGATAGGATCAGTCGAGGGGGGGGGAGGGGGGCGATGTAGGGCAGATAAGCAGGTGAAGAGGTGACAACAAATTTTCAGCTCTGCCACCCTATCACAAGATATTACGGATAATCTAATTAGGCTTATCCTGCAGCTAACTGCATTTCACTAAGAGAAGGGTTATTTACCTGTGCTGATCAAAGTAACACTAAAGGTGGATCGTTTGAAGTGTAGACATGATGTGAATCTTTAGCTAATAATGCTGAGCTGGGTCCGAGCATCGAGTCAGCATTTCAACCTGTAGACAGGTGTAGCCAGGTGAAAGGCAACTGTCCAAGCACACACACACATACACACATACCATAATATTGTTATGTAGCCAAGCTGAAACATACCAGCAGCTCCTTTGAAGATGTTATCAGGTTATAAAGGAGGGGGGTCAGGAGGACAAGGTGGTTAGATCTAGACTGGTGTGTTCAGGTTGACAATAGAGAGAGACCAGTTCTGGATGTAAAACTTGTGCCACCATTCAACTTAAGTTGTCGGACAGGCGTCATCTCAGCACTAGCCCACCTTTGTATTGCTTCACTTCACTGCTGCATTCTGTCATGCATGCAGGTGGTTTACTGCTGAACTGGTGACTTTCTGCTGTTATATTAATTCATAGAGTATTGCCTGCATATTTTTAGTGTCAGTGTGACATTCCATGCTTTCCTTAGTCACAATATTTTATTATAAACAACAAGTGCCCCAGTATGCAGCTGCCTGTGAAGTCAGAATGTCACAGGACCCTTCAACCTCAGTCAACATGTATATACAGGTGGTCTCTTCACACAGGGGCCATTCTTCTTGGTGTATGTTCTCATGTCACTACATAATAATACCACAATCTATGCTCACGGTGGCGTGTAGTCACCTAAACCACATCAGAAAAAGTTTTATGTTGGCTAAAGAAATGAAATATGACAAATATGTTGGTGATCCTTTTTTTTTCTGTAACAAAATGTCTGTACAGTGTATTTAGCAAAAAAAAGTCTTGGGCAAATCTTAACCGTACTATTTAGTTTTCATTGCTGGGTCACAAAATAATTTATCATCCTTTATTGACAAATAATCTCGGTACATTATTGAGCTGCGTATCATTCTGTTGACTAAGTTCACTGATAACATATCTCCAGGTCACTAAATACCTTATAATGGTTTAACACATTTCCTTTCTGTTGTGATGGAGAAAAACGGGATCGTGTCCTAGAAGTGTGGCTGGAAGCCAGTCCGAGGAGAAAAAAGAGGGCAGTCCACAGTGGTGGATTTAGAGGGGTGGGGGTGGGGGGGGGGGGGTCAGGGGGGGTCCCACCCTCCCCCCTATGATTTTGGAAAATCCAATGGCCCCCTCTTGAAATTAGAATTTTGACTAGCTGAATCTTAGTTCTAAACCACCAAATGAAACATTTGCCCTCTAAAATAACAAAATTTTTCGGGTCCCGAACCCCACGCAAGGGGGGGGGGAGGTCTGCTTCATATTGGCAGATCCCCCTTCAAATAATCCTGGATCCGCCCCTGGTCCACAATTTTCTCCTCCCCTCTCCTCAACCCCCCAACCCACTTAATACACTGGGCTAAGGGTTCGATAATCTCATAGGCAACTGTAATGATGGGGTGGAGCAGAAGGTGGGTTATATGGGTGTGGACAATATCATATTACCCACATTTAAGAATACACCACATACTTAAATGGAATAACTTGTTTTACACATGGGTCAACTTCAGGACTTTTGACATCAATTTTCTCTCCCAGGACATACATGTTAAATAATAATTGCTGCTGACAGGGGCATTTAGTTTGGAGGTGGCTTTTTTCTGTGCTCTGTGGAATGATAAATACTGTGAATGTAGATCTACAGTTTATCTCCCTCAGTTATTAACCTCCCGTCTTATGCAATGAAACCTTTGACCAACTGCTAATTGCATTCCTTAAAACCATTTCTAATGTACTAATTTTTATCTTCACCTCATATTATAGCTATTTAATCTATTCTTTTACAAGTACATTTTAAAAAATAAATAATTTTAATGCTCTATAAATTCATGAATTCACAATCTTTTATCAATCCCTAAACCTTTAGCCTTTTTTTCTCAGAAAATGTTACTTTTGTTGATTTTTGTGCATTTAAAAATTTTCTCTCCAGGACACAAGTACCCTGGAATGCCCCATAATTATTATAGAAGTATTTTTGTTGTCATTTCAGAGATGCTGCTGCTGGTACTGTTGCTGGCCTGCTGTCATCTCACGCAGGCACAGTTCCAGAACAAGGCCTATTTTAACTCATCCGCATATGTGGAATCAACAAACACATTTGACGTGCACAAAAGGACTACTTTTCAATTTCGGACTTGTTCCGAAGGGCAACTTTTATCCGACCACGGAGCAAACGGGGACTCCATAGAATTTTATGTAAACACAAATGGATCTTTACTTTTAAAATGGAATGCTTCCCAAGATTCTGTGTCAAATATTTTAACAATCGGTCAAGATCTGAATAATAACAATTGGTATAAGCTCAGCCTAAAATACCAGGTGGGCAACGTCACATTAACAATCGAGCAGGGCTCGAATAAAAGATACGAACGCCTTATAGCCAATAGTACATATAACAGTGATTTTAAAAATTTGAATTTTACTGGAGGAAGTCCACTGACGATAGGAAGAGGCTATCTGGGCTGTATTGAAGGTGCTCTCACGGTGGAATTGGACAAGAATATAGCAGGACACGCCAATGTGGACTGGGGAAACTGTCCCCTGGAGTCACAGCCTTGTAGTAAGTATGATCAGGGTTTGTGCATCAAAAGAAAAAAAAGAGAGAGAAAGAAAGGAAAAAAGAAAGAAAAAGATAAGTAGGCCAAAACTTATTGGAATTCTTCATTTTCTTTAGTCAAAATGAAGTAATCTTTTTATTAGCAGTCAGTAGATTTAACTGTGTAGACCAAGAGTATCAATGTATCAGACTTAACAATGCAGCTCAGTTTGGGCACGAAACATATGACATTGAATTTGATCTGGTGGAATTTCACTTTTCTACAAAAAGGCAAATTGTAATAATGTCAATTCAACAGACTTTATTTCGATGGAATAACTTCTTCTTAGATGGCCATCAGTGACAGGTAAGTCTGGTATAGCTGTCATTTTTGAGAAAAAATTCCCCATCCAAAGCTTTTAACTAAAATTTGTTCTTGAATATATTCTGGCATGGTTGAAAAGCTTCACGAGTCTTTCTGATGATGTCTCAGGATGTTGACACAGTGTCAGATTTCATAGCTTAAAATAACACTCATCCTGTCCATGTATTCACTGCATTGATATCTTCCTGTCTGGGCACCTGCTTACTCTTGGGACACTCACCTGGTTGTAAATATTGGCTCAAAGAAATATATAGACCTCTGTAAAACTGATAAAGAGGCTTAAGTTAGGATAGAGCAGCAGGGAGGCTGAAAGGCTTCTAATATTTCATACATAGGAAACAGTCATGATTGCTGTAGTTGAGAAAAGAATCTTGTTAGAACTTTTAAAAATTCACCCATTGAAAATAGTTTTAACTGCAGCATTTTTGTAACTATGCTTGTAAATAATAAGTTGAAAAATTAAAAGATGCATTTTGTGGAGTTAATTAAACAATTAAGAAGGTACTCTTTTGTTAATCCTTAACAATTTTGGCATCAGTAACTGCCAGAGCTAACTTTATTAGAACACTTTCAGCCATCTAATTGCAGACTTGAGTCAATGAGATTGAAAACGGAGCACATGCTCACTTGGTGCTTTTATTTATCTTGTAGCTTTTGCATCATCATGTTCTGATGAAAATAAACATTCAGTTTGAATGGTGAGGCTCGGAGAGTCCACTGCTGCATTACAAGGTGTATGTCCTTTCAGGTGACTTTGACATCAACGACTGCTGGAGTCAGCCGTGCCAAAATGCAGGAGTCTGTCAGGACGGATTCAAGAACTACACCTGTGTCTGCCCCCCTCCGTACAGTGGGAGAAACTGTGAGACAGACCTAGGTGAGATATATATTGACATAGAATAAAATAAAATGCCATCCAGTAATGGTAGAATATGGATGAATGGAGTAATGATAGAAAAATGCTCCTGTTTCGTAAACTAAGTACATACAGTACTTGTTTTATTCTAGAAGCCATAATTCCAATGTTTACGAAACATCTGGCATAAGGAAGGATAAGTGTTGAGGTCCTTATAAGAAACCAGTCCTTGAGATATCTAAATCTTCATTCTCATTCATGGCATTTTAGTCTACATGCAGGGATAAGATTTTTCTGACTGTTGGCAGTTTTTGGACTTTAGGACCCAAAAATACCATTGGCATTGGCTGCCACACTATATTTTCCAGCTTTTTCACCAAACGGGAGTTTCATCCCTGTGCCTGTGAAAGGTCCAAGATAAGGAGATGCATTTAGTTTTCAGGGCAGGGTAATGTTTGTGTGTGGTATCTTAGCACTCACAAATATTTAAGGCACTGGACTGCAAAAGGAGATCCTCGGTTTCCAAAGTAGCAGTATGGCTGCCTTTAGATTATTGGATAAAATGTGCAATAACTATGTAGGTGGTTTCGTAAATAAGGCACTCTAGATTGTAAGGAGATTTGTATTGGAAGAGCTTCCTGCTTCCCTCCATTTGTACCAGGTGCTCATTCTCTTGAAATGTCTCTCTTGCCCTGTGGATAAAAAGAAAGTTTATCTTCCTTCTCCTCATTCTAAGCTGGCTAGACATTTCTCAGCTGTTGACCTGCTCTAACAATTTCAGGCTGAGATAGTGAAAAAAAGTTAACTTAAGCTGGGAAATTTCTGGATAAAAATAATTTGAAATTTTGAAGAACATCTAAGAAGCTTCGAAAAAATCCAAAATATTACTATAAGTTTAAATAATACAACTATAAAAATTATTTGTTTAAATATTTAAAAGCAGAATTATTTTAAATAAAATCTGAATCCAGGAACATCTAGTTTTAGTCAGCTTAGGAAATAAAAAGTCACCAGAAAAATAGAAAACAGACGCTAAAATGGAAAAGATAAGACCAGGGAAGGGTATTCAAAAGGCACTGGGAAGCATGCTTACTTTCGTCAGATAAGTTTTTTTTTATGTGTCTCCATCATGATCCACCCACTTGCCCCGAGTTTCAACAGGCTCATTTTCAAAGACACCATCTGTATACATAGATCTTGCTTTTGTCAGTATATTTACCCTGTGTAACATGGGATATCATGATTCATCAGCTCATAGTTGTGTAGTTCAACAGCAGACTACAGAGGATGTTCATTGTATATTTACCCTGTGTAAAACAGGATGTGGGGAGTCAGTCACCAGACAGTCGTAGTCAAGTAGTCAGTTCAACAGTAGATGACAGAGGAGGTTCACTGTCTGTCTAGGTCTGCCCAAATACTTTATTTCTTAACAATTTGAATTTTGTCCACCTAGCTAATATATGCACTAATTCCAAGGGGGCTCACTGAATGCAATCATATTAACAGACTAAGACTCCTCTTGTTTCCAGTGTAATGGTATAACCAAGGTTTTGTTGATGAGATTTGGAAATTGAGTACAAAATTATATTTTTAAAAAAGATTATTTAAATTTTTAAAAATGGGATTATGAGTGCAGTGTAGAAATAAAATTATAGCAGTGATTTGGTTCTGATTTTATACCAAAAAAAATGTAATGGTCTCGGAAAATGTGCACTGTGCTCTAGATAATTATGATATTTATCTGGGCAATATTTGTTTTTCCGTTTAAGTTTTANTTTCAGGTGACTTTGACATCAACGACTGCTGGAGTCAGCCGTGCCAAAATGCAGGAGTCTGTCAGGACGGATTCAAGAACTACACCTGTGTCTGCCCCCCTCCGTACAGTGGGAGAAACTGTGAGACAGACCTAGGTGAGATATATATTGACATAGAATAAAATAAAATGCCATCCAGTAATGGTAGAATATGGATGAATGGAGTAATGATAGAAAAATGCTCCTGTTTCGTAAACTAAGTACATACAGTACTTGTTTTATTCTAGAAGCCATAATTCCAATGTTTACGAAACATCTGGCATAAGGAAGGATAAGTGTTGAGGTCCTTATAAGAAACCAGTCCTTGAGATATCTAAATCTTCATTCTCATTCATGGCATTTTAGTCTACATGCAGGGATAAGATTTTTCTGACTGTTGGCAGTTTTTGGACTTTAGGACCCAAAAATACCATTGGCATTGGCTGCCACACTATATTTTCCAGCTTTTTCACCAAACGGGAGTTTCATCCCTGTGCCTGTGAAAGGTCCAAGATAAGGAGATGCATTTAGTTTTCAGGGCAGGGTAATGTTTGTGTGTGGTATCTTAGCACTCACAAATATTTAAGGCACTGGACTGCAAAAGGAGATCCTCGGTTTCCAAAGTAGCAGTATGGCTGCCTTTAGATTATTGGATAAAATGTGCAATAACTATGTAGGTGGTTTCGTAAATAAGGCACTCTAGATTGTAAGGAGATTTGTATTGGAAGAGCTTCCTGCTTCCCTCCATTTGTACCAGGTGCTCATTCTCTTGAAATGTCTCTCTTGCCCTGTGGATAAAAAGAAAGTTTATCTTCCTTCTCCTCATTCTAAGCTGGCTAGACATTTCTCAGCTGTTGACCTGCTCTAACAATTTCAGGCTGAGATAGTGAAAAAAAGTTAAGCTGGGAAATTTCTGGATAAAAATAATTTGAAATTTATAAGAACATCTAAGAAGCTTCAAAAAATTCCAAAATATTACTGTAAGTTTAAAAAATACAACTATGAAAATTATTTGTTTAAATATTTAAAAGCATAATTATTTTGAATAAAATCTAAATCCAGGAAGATCTAGTTTTAGTCAGCTTAGGAAATAAAAAGTCACCAGAAAAATAGAAACCAGACACTGAAATGGAAAAGATAAGACCATGGAAGGGTATTCAAAAGGCACTGGGAAGCATGCTTACTTTCGTCTGATAAGTTTTTTTTTATGTGTCTCCATCATGATCCATCCACTTGCCCTGAGTTTCAATATGCTCATTTCTTAAGACACCATCTGTGTACATAGATCTTGCTTTTGTCAGTATATTTACCCTGTGTAGCATGGGATATCATGATTCATCAGCTGACAGTCGTGTAGTTCAACAGCAGACGACAGAGGATGTTCATTGTATATTTACCCTGTGTAAAACAGGATGTGGGGAGTCAGTCACCAGACAGTCGTAGTCAAGTAGTCAGTTCAACAGTAGAAGACAGAGGAGGTTCACTGGTGTCAGTATATTTACCCTGTATAACTCAGGGTGCAATGAATCAGTTATCAGACAGTCGCAGTCAAGTAGTCACTTCAACAGTAGGTGACAGAGGAGGTATACTGTTGTCTAGGTCTGCCTAAATACTTAACAATATATGAGGGACTGTTCACAATGAATTTTGTCCACCTAGCTAATGTGCACCAACTCCAAGGGGGCTCACTGAATGCAATCATATTAACAGACTAAGACTCCTCTTGTTTCCAGTGTAATGGTATAACCAAGGTTTTGTTGATGAGATTTGGAAATTGAGTACAAAATTATATTTTTAAGAAAGATTATTTAAATTTTTAAAAATGGGATTATGAGTGCAGTGTAGAAATAAAATTATAGCAGTGATTTGGTTCTGATTTTATACCAAAAAAAATGTAATGGTCTCGGAAAATGTGCACTGTGCTCTAGATAATTATGATATTTATCTGGGCAATATTTGTTTTTCCGTTTAAGTTTTAAATGTTCTTGTTTTTCTTTAAAAATGGGCCTTTGTTAACATACATTCGTATCAGGATTAGAGTGTCACTGAATACAATACCAAAATTGCTTTAAAAAAAAAAGAAATATGATGATGAATATTTGATTACATCATTCCATGAGAAAAGTCATTGGATCCATAAACATCCAGTAGCCTATATAAACAAAAAAAAAATATTTACAACATTTAACTCATTATGTTTGCAATTGTTGTTAAAAAGTTTTAAAAATGTATGCATTGTAATTAATTGGTATAAAAAGTAGCAATTGTTTAATACCAAAGGAAAATATTAGATAGAATCAAACAGTTCCCATATGCAAATGGTGTGCAACTGTAAATTGAGCAGGTTTACATACCAGACAACTGAGACTAAAATACTTTCTCAAACTCAACTGAACTTATTTGTAAACATGCTTGTTACAGACTGTGCCTTGTTATTATATCTAAGAACGTGTCTTATGTAATATGAAAAGGAATAATGACTAAGCAGTAGTCATACTCACAGAGAACTAATAGATGGCATGCTACCTGTAGTTATCTGACAAGATCTAATAGGAAAGGACAGCTCATGGTTGATAAGAGCAAATAGAGGAGGTTTCACATGGCTGCCTTTGGCTGTATTCCCAGAGCTTTTAGATCGATCTATCCCCGTGGGGAGTCTCACTAGATTACTGTTAGATAATCCAGCTTAAATGTCCGTCCCGCCTACTACAAGCTGTAAGGGGGTAATTAACTTTTGTGTCCGCCCAGCTGACAGCTATTTAGCGTGAACCCCCAGGGAGTTAGGTCGATCTAAAGTAGATCGATCTAGTCTCTGGAAATGGGGTCTTTGATTGCATGTTGTTCTCCCCGTAGAACAATCCCTTTAGTGTCTTAGCTGAGTAAACCCGTGGCAAATTACTCCCTTGTCAACAACAACCCATCCAGGGCTGGTTAGATAGGGACATGAGTAATGATCTGTGGGCAGGGGACAATATTGAGTGAGGTTGTCACATTTGGTCACACAGTTACACCATGGTACAATGTCGCGCTATAACAGCGAAAACAACAGCATTACTGACTTTGTTGATGATTTTTGTGACTGATGGGAGCGCAGAGGGTAAGTGACATAGGAGAAGGAGTAGGCAGGATGGGACATATTGTGATATGTGGTATGCTCGAGTTAAAGATCAGCTGATATTATAACTACTGTAATGACTCGATCTTTTCAATGGGGGAAAGTTGTGAATTTTACAGACACTGTATTTTTTAAGTCTTAATTTGTTAAAACAAGAGGAATCCTATTAAGTGGTAGCAACAAAATGGGAAAGCAGACTACCTTATAGTTCTAATCTATGTATTAAAAACACCACAAATGCTATACATGGTTTTATTATGATGTGTCTGAAAGTTTGATCATTTTTGCCCATTGAAAAGATCGAGTCATTACTGTATTACAGTGCTGTAACAGCATGGCTGTCAGGGTCACCTGAAGCTGCTTGTATGAATAAAGCTATCAAACAGAAAAATAACACAGTTGAATGTATTCACGGTCTTTGAAAGCTTAACATATATTTAGAGAAAGTTACTGATTATGTTAAAACTTTTCTAAAAGTTGCTCAAAATAATTGAAGGTCCGTTGGACCAACTGAACACAATTTTTACCAGTCCTTGAATTTTTTTTACGTCATGATAGTTAGGACAGACATTTTCAGCATGTCTGAGACTGACAGTCAGCTGGTTAAAAACAGTCATATTATTAATATGAATTAATGTGAATTGCCATCAGTGAGACAAAATGAATTCTCTGATTTATAATCAATTGTTTTGTGAATAAAGTAAAAGGAATCTCACATTTCAGAAGTTCTTTTTTCAGAGTCATTTGTGAGTTTTGTCTGTCATATTTTAATATTTATATTTATTTAAAAATAACTGGTATTTCAGCCAGTGCTGACACCTATATTTAATCCCTGTATCCTTTCCATCTCTCCAGGTGCCAGTGGCTGCCAGACGGGGCTGTGTAAGAATGGTGCAACTTGTGTGGATGTTACTGGTCAGACCAGGCTGTATGAATGCCGCTGTGTTCCAGGTAGGGAAAGATAGGAGAAGAAAATAGGAATTAGATAGAAGAATAAAGTAGTATTGATTATTTTATGTGTTCTTTTATTTTATTTTTCATTTTTGTAAGTTTCTTTTGTTTTGATTGTTCTTTTTTAAAATTATTTCACTTTATGTCATCTTATTTTATTTTTATTTTTGGACTTTATTATTTTTCAAATTATTCATTTATTTTTCATGAGTATGATGTACACTTATCTATCAAGATAGCCTCATTAATGCAAGTGTATTTTGTATTGCAAGAGTTGACATATTGCATGTTTAAAAGATATTCATGAAGAAGACCACAGAACAACTGTTTTTATATATAAAGACTTTGAATAAGAATTGATTTCATAATTTAAAAAAAAGCAATTTAGAAAGAGTTTATCATACAAGCCATGCTGGTTTTCAGGCTACACGGGTACCCACTGTGAGAATGAAGTGAAGGAGTGCGATTCCCAGCCGTGTAAAAATGGCGGCCAGTGTACGGACCAGATCAACAGCTTTGTCTGTAACTGCACAGGGACAGGTAAGATGGAAGGGAGGGAAAGAGAAGAAAAGATGTTTTTAAAAATCGTTCTACCTGCACAAGTTCATAATATGTATATACATCAGTGGTAGCAGGTATATGATGTCCAAATGTTTACAACTACTGCACTCAGTCCTGGCTCATGATGAGACTTTCCTGGGAGCAGATCCAGAGATATTTTCCGACCATCTTCCAAATTATCTTTGTTGATCCATCCTCCAATATTGACCATCTTCCAACAGAAAAAAAGAAGATGGAATGTAAATTTGGAAAAATTTTGACTGCCTTCCAAAAACCCCAGAAGATGGCTTCTGACTGCCCCTGTTACCCAACTTTCATGAAGTTTAGTCATTTATAGTGATTAGTTAAAGAAAAATTTTGTATATGAGTTTCTTATCCATTTTTGTTCAATTTTCTCCCATATTTTTGTGGTAACATCCATTTCTCTCTGGTATACAGGATACACTGGTGTTGACTGTACTGATGACATGGACGAGTGTTCCGCCTCTCCGTGTCAAAATGGCGCCACCTGTCAGAACAACCAGGGGACATACTCCTGCATATGTTCACCAGGTTATGATGGCAATAATTGTGAGAGGGTATGTAAAGACTATATTTCGACTTTTACGAATACGTATACATAACTTAGCAACCCTCCAGCAGTTCATAGAAATTGTTTTGGTTTAATTTTAGACTAAGCAAAGATCTACAGCTTTGACGTAGCAGTTTTTAACTTGTTGTTTTTCTGATTTTATTGCATACTTACATGTATGGAGAGAAGCTACTGGAGACTACATTATAGTTTTTATACAGTTATTAAATGAGAAAGACACAAAATATTTCCACACAGTTTTCATTTTAATGATATTAGTTTGCCCTTAAAACACTATGTATAATCATATTTTCCATCAGATAATTTTTATCCATTTTAACAACTGAATTTTCTTTCCATTTTCAGGAAGTCGACGAGTGTGCCTCATCCCCCTGTCTAAACGGTGCCACATGTAATGACGGCCTTAACACGTACACATGCACATGTGCGGCGGGGTTCAGTGGAGAGAACTGCCAGACAAATCTTGATGACTGCGTGGGTGTTGTGTGTCCCGGAGATAACGTGATATGTGTAGATTATGTACTGAACTACAAGTGTGAATGCGCCCCGGGGTTCACGGGTACGTACTGACAAAAATGGATCTGTGTAGTACTGTTAGTCATATTGAGGGAATTATAAACTGTTCATTTTTTACACTAACTGAAAGTGTGTGTGTGTACAAGTTGGGATGAAAGCATCATATTAAGGAAATTTTAAACTGTTCAATTTCTACACTGTAGCAGACCTGTAAAAGTTGGGACGATAACTGTGCTTTCAGTTCGTGTAGAAATTCAACCATTCACAATATAATAATAATATGAACTGATGCTGCAGGTGGGGAAATTTGTGAGTAAATATGTCGTAGATACGCCACGAGTCAGTGAGTCATATGAGACATACACAAGTGTGAAGAAATAATAGATGCTACATATACCACGGTGATGAATGGTAATAACTATGGAACAAAAGACCCAAGCATGGTGTAACTCCTATTCGCGCATGGTGTCTGTATGCCAGATACACCATGTCTGGATCTTTCCTCCGCAACATCTACTGTAGCATAAATTGCAATATTGCACTTGGAAAATATCGATTTTTTAAAAGTTTTATGCTTGACATTATGTCATATATTAGTGGACAGCAATGCTAGCTCTCAAAATTTCCATCTTTCTCTTAATTTATGAAATTCAAATGTGTCATGTGTAAGGTGAAAAAATATTTAAGTCTATGATATGCATTCATAATGTATCTTTACTTCAGGAGACCAAAGCAATTGTGTAGACATTAATGAATGTGCCAGTAACCCATGCCGTAACAACGCAACATGCGCCAATCTCTTGAACGCGTACAACTGCAGCTGTGTGACAGGGTTTTCTGGTGTCAATTGTGAGGTGAATATTGATGAGTGTGCTGGCCAGCCATGCAGTAACGGAGCCACGTAAGTATTCCTGCATGGCCCATGTGTGTACTTGAGTGTGCATCTTTGATGTGTGCTCACAGTATCTACCAATATCATTATTGTGATGGATGATATTAACAAAGGTGGAACATAGTATAGGCATCCAATTAAGGTAAAAATTGAAAGTGAAAATATCTGTAAATTTTAATATTGTTTGTTGAAGTATTTTGTTTCATATAACTTTCAGACAGTGAAGTGCACAGGAATGACCTGCAAATTGTAACATGTTAATTGTTTTAGTTCTCTTTTATGTCTTTTATACACACGCAAATTATACACAATTTATTTATACACAAGATCTGTTTTTAGATTTTATATGTCATATGTCAGTATTGTTATGTGGGCCGGTAGTCAGCAATTTCAAAGGGGGCATCTTTTCTTCTGAGAAAGTGGACCTTTTACCAAGAAACCTTTATGTACCTAGGTAAAATTTTACCCAGCGCAGATCTTTTCCCAGCAAGAAGGGGGTTCTTTGTTCTTTGAAATCTTTCAAATTCTCCTGACCCCCCCCCCCGGGTTGAAGACCCAGTAGCATAATTCTATATTCTTTTAACATAAACATGACTAGTTAAGTAATGTACTAGTATGTTCTCTACTTTTCTAGATGTGTTGATGGCATCAACAGGTACACCTGTTCATGTGCGGCAGGCTACACTGGCGCCACCTGTGCCACCAACATAGACGAGTGCGCTAGCAGTCCTTGCAGGAACGGTGCCACATGCATGGACCAGGTAATGTCGCAAATATCATAAAGGGGATATGCATTTTTATCAACATTTTCACAAGTCAACAAACTGTACACAGAAATGGAGGGGTGTTAGTGCTTTCTGAAAAATGATAAAATTATGCTCCAAAATGCTGTCAAAAGTCATCAATTTTAGCTTTTCACCTTGTACTCTTTGGAGGGGAAGGGGGTAGGGAATTAGTCTACGCTTCGTGTACTTGTGAATATGATGATAAAAATGGATGAACCCCTAGTGTTATAATAATGAGCATTTAAATCAGCTTTGATTGACAGTGATATTACTATAGAATTGATTATAACCGCAAATTGATTTGGATGTTGGGTATTCATAGCTCGGTGAAATCTCAGTTCTGCGTTTGATGAGGTGAGTGATTTTCTGACTTTTTGAGGTTATAATTTTTCTTTTTTGGTTTGTTAGTGAACAGCCTAATTTAAAAAGTTATGAAGAGATTTAATAAAATTTTCAGAATAGGTCAGTAAAGGGCTAACTTACTACCAATAAGATTTTGCTGTTGATCCATTTCTTTTTTAATTAACAATAAGACAGATTGGGCTGCTACGGTGGAGTTCTACTCCCTAAGAGTGCTTTTCTAGCTATCAGTAGAATGACCACAGTTCTGTGTTGTCTATTAAACAGAAGTCAACTTAAACAAGGACAAAATAAGATATCTCATTGTGTGTACTTTAATCCACAGGTGAATGGCTACACCTGTAGCTGTGTTGCTGGCTGGACGGGGGTCAACTGTGAGGTTGACGTCGATGAGTGCCAATCGGACCCCTGCCAAAATGGCGCCACCTGTCAGAATAGATTGAACATGTACGACTGTGTCTGTAGACCCGGTTTCACTGGTATGTACTGCTGTCTCTGAGGCCCCATTCAGAATAGGGGACTAACAAGTCCAAGGGTCATATATGGTGACTCACTACAATGCTTGCTGTCCAATCTGCTAATACATACTGAATAGATATCCCATGGGGAAGTATTTAAGTGGGTTGGCCATATTTGACCCTTGGACTAGTTAGTCCCCTATTCTGAAGTCTGTTGTCTTAGTACTAAATCATGACCAAAACTTGATTTACAGTTATTTTTTACTCTGTCTTTTGTGTACATCCAAATGCTGTCACTGAATTATTATTGTCTTAATTGGATTTCTACAAGCACTACCATTATTACCACTTCCCACATCTTATTTCTCCATCTTCTCTTTGCACTATCAAATGCTTGGACCATTTAAGGAAATAATTTCCAAAACAAGCAAAATTTAATTTAAAAAAATGAAAACAAAATATTTTTTGACAAATCATGAAGCTAAAGCATAAAAACCCCACCTTTCTCTTCATTAGTGTCCATGAATTTCACCTGCATTTACAATAATCAATGACATATATGAGTGAAATATTATTGTACTTCACACTAGGGGTTCACTGCGAGACCAACATAGATGACTGCGCCTCAGGACCCTGTCAGAATGGCGCGCCGTGTGTGGACCAGGTCAACGACTACATGTGTAACTGTACCTCAGGGTGGATGGGAAAAAACTGCTCACAACCTTACGACGCATGCTCCTTCTCTCCATGCCAGAATGGGGCCACATGCACCAGTATAATTCCGAATCCTGAATACACGTGTGCGTGTGTGTTGGGATTCACTGGTGCAGACTGCGAGACGGACATTGATGATTGTGTCAACCACACCTGTATTAATGGCGAGGTGTGCCTTGATATGGTCAACTCCTACAAATGTCAATGTCCAATAGGTAAGTTGACCATGGGTTAAGTATTTGATTTCATGACCATTTTTGTTTATGACATATGAAAACGTTAATGTCAATTGAAATGATTTATTTTATTTTATTTTGCCCAAGGACAAAGGATGATGATGATGATGAGAATAATTAACAGATTAAGGATGACATAGGACATCAGATGTATATTTTATACGTTCATGCAGAAAAGATATATTTGATTGTTATGTTAAAAATTCCTTTCAGGTAAGAATAGCATCTGGCATGTGACTACTATTTTTTAAAAATTTTAACTCATCAGTGCTATTTAGATTACATAATCACTATTGCCAGGTGATCATTGTAAATTTGTTTACTTATTGTCCTTTGCAAAGTATGTTTATAAGTCATATTACTTATTAAGACAAAGTACGCAAATAATTACATAGCCTACCTTTCCCCGTAGGTTTTGCTGGTGATAACTGTTCTGTGAACATCGATGACTGCGCCGACAGCCCCTGTCAAAATGGTGCCAGGTGTGTCGACGGTATCGCCAGTTATACATGTAACTGCACGCAAAACTATTTCAACCTCACCCAGTATACGGGGAATCCTGACATGTTTTATATCAGTGGATGGAACGGCACCAACTGTGAAAGAGACATAGACGAATGCCAGTACCAGCCGGGGATATGCCTGAACAATGGCATTTGTCGTAATAAGAACGGCAGCTTTGACTGCTATTGTGCACCGTCACAAGAAAAAGGGGCGTATTATTCAGGTAAACCCTGCTTGATATGTGATTCAAATGTGTCTGTGCTTGTGTATATGTAAGAATGAAATAGAGTGGGAATTGAAGTGAATTTTCGTCGTCAGTCTGGTAGATTTCGCACTACACATCTTGTTAAAGCACATTAATTTATGTGATCTTTTACCATACTTTTTAGCAGAACTGGAGAAATTATATCACACATCCATTTTTTTTTAAAANTGTTTTTTGTCTGTACATTTGACAGCTTTGCTGCCTTGTTTAAAAAATTTAACTCATCAGTGCTATTTAGATTACATAATCACTATTGCCAGGTGATCATCGTAAATTTGTTTACTTTTTGTCCTTGCAAAGTATGTTTATAAGTCATATTACTTATTAAGACAAAGTACGCAAATAATTCCATAGCCTACCTTTCCCCGTAGGTTTTGCTGGTGATAACTGTTCTGTGAACATCGATGACTGCGCCGACAGCCCCTGTCAAAATGGTGCCAGGTGTGTCGACGGTATTGCCAGTTATACATGTAACTGCACGCAAAACTATTTCAACCTCACCCAGTATACGGGGAATCCTGACATGTTTTATATCAGTGGATGGAATGGCACCAACTGTGAAAGAGACATAGACGAATGCCAGTACCAGCCGGGGATATGCCTGAACAATGGCATTTGTCGTAATAAGAACGGCAGCTTTGACTGCTATTGTGCACCGTCACAAGAAAAAGGGGCGTATTATTCAGGTAAACCCTGCTTGATATGTGATTCAAATGTGTCTGTGCTTGTGTATATGTAAGAATGAAATAGAGTGGGAATTGAAGTGAATTTTCGTCGTCAGTCTGGTAGATTTCGCACTACACATCTTGTTAAAGCACATTAATTTATGTGATCTTTTACCATACTTTTTAGCAGAACTGGAGAAATTATATCACACATCCATTTTTTTTTTTAATGAATTCATATTTTAGGATCATCTTATTTAGTTATCATCGTGTTCTGGTTTTTTTCACAGGTAAAAACTGTGAGCAGGTGACGGATTATTGCACTAGTGGCAATCTGGCAAGAGACGACCCCCCAGTGTGTAAGAACGATGGCGTCTGCATCCCCCTTGCGGCAGAGGCTGGAAATTATTTGTGTAATTGCTCTGCAGGATGGACAGGTGAAAATTACATTAGAAGGGCATTTTCTTTTAAATGTGAAATGTTTGGAGTGAAGATGGTGCTCCTGGCTCTGTAATCCATTCCTCATAGATTGTCTTTTTTTTTTTCACCTGACTTACTGATAGTTGTTTCTTAGAGATTCAAACACTGAAGTTATCATTTTGTCATGCAAGAATGATTTTTGGTTATATCCACTAAAGATTTCTCTATTACTGAGACCTTTGCAGTCTTATTAATGTTATGGTTCTTATTGAAAAAAGAATGATAATTTTTAGGCCGAAGATGCAGAATCGACATAGATGAATGTGCATCTAACCCGTGCCAGAACAACGCAACTTGTGATGACCAGGTCAATGGTTACGTGTGCGACTGTGCGCCAGGATTTACGGGCATTCACTGCGAGACTAATATCGATGAGTGTGCCTCAGATCCGTGTCTTCATGGCGGAAGCTGTATTGATCTGGTCAACGGGTGAGTCCTAGAAATTTTTAGGGGTAAATAGGTAACATGTAAGTTCAGATGTTATGTAAAAGGCAGTGGACACATTAATTTGAAGTATCAACTGAGCAGTTTGCAGTTTTTAAGGCAATGCTGAAGATATGTTTGACGATACGTATTTGTATGAACTCCCTTCCCCTGTGTATTCTGCCGCTTTTTAGTTACCATGACTACATTTTATTATACACCATACAGCAGCCATTGTGGATCTGACAAAGTTTAATTTTGAGCTATATTCTCCTTTTTTTTTAAATTTTATTTTTTTTCGAGAATGAAAGCAAATGATTTGCACATATGCCAGCTTTTTTCCCCATCCAATCCTGTATGGCATTTTGGGTGAACATGTATCAGTTGTCTGTTTTGTGCCATAGTTTCTCTCTTCATAGGTTTGTAAATGAACTGCACTTTTTTTCCAATTTATACAGCAGCAACATGCATAATCACAATGATAAAGCAGAGCATTTTATGTGACAAAGTTATTTCATAAGTCTATATTAAATATTGCCAGATATAAATTCCGTCCAAATTTAGATAAATTGACAACAGTCCAGTCCACATCCCCACAACATGCTTATATTATTTATCGAACCACTTACTCTCAATTTTAAATTGACAGAAAGATGTTACAAATATTGTCTCGTTGTCTAAATGTTTACAACTTCCTGTTATCGTCCTGGTCAACTTAAGTTTACCACTTCCTGTTTACAGTCCGAGTCTTCTAAATGTTACCAAAATCTGTTTACAACTTACTTGCGTGGATAATAACACAGGGTAGGACAGTAATGCATGGTTTTCAGATTTGCATCGTGGCAGCAGTAGTGACATCTATTATCAAAAATTAGCATCCTTGCTGCAGCAGTGACACCTATAGTCAAATTTGTACATTGGTAAAACATAAGTGGCATCAGTTTTTCAAAAGCAGTAGAAGTATTTATACTCGGTGTGTATTTACGAAACCAAGCCTGAAGTTTTTGTTAAAAATGCAATGAAAATTTGTCTACATCCATGTTTTGCACAAAAGAGCATTGTTTCAAAATTTACGAATCAACTTTTTGCCTAGATATTTTGATTGCATTTTTAACTTGCCTGCATTATGTTTATGAATGAAACTGTGTACTATTAACATTTAATGTATGTCCATCAGCTTTAATACAGGCAAATTGTTATCAGTAACCCTACATACACACATGCATACACCTACACGCACACACACAGGCGCACACACTTGATGACAGTAGAATGCAAGTAAATAACTGAAATCTGTGTTTGTATGTGCATCAAGCAAACTACAGGATCATTTTTTTTTTTTTT